ATCCAACTCTGGGTGAGACGACTGACGAGTGGTTGCGATGACATGTTTGGCGTGAGTTGTGGTCAACACCTGTCGCACTAACTCGAGTCCAATGCCACGATTGCCGCCTGTAATCAACACCGTCTCGAAACTCATTTTATATTATTTTTTTTATAAAACTTAATAAATTATTATTATCTTAAAGTAAAGTATTGAAAATCTCTGCAAACAATTCACTATTTATATGAAGTATTGCTTATACTAAATTTGCACTAAATTGTATACAGTATATAATAAGTATTACATATCTCTATGGTAACAATTGTACCTATGCATTCACAGTGAGCTAACCAAGGTCAATTGTGTGTTTATATCCTCTAAGGTAACATTCCTACAATGCATTATAGTATAATGATTATACAGCACCTTTACCTATAATGTTATGTTGAAAAGTATAGCTAATCTATTCTAAACACATTATTTAACTAATCAAGGTCATAAGTAGAACATATTCTGTAACATATTATTGTTATATATTCTACGTTTGAATATACATACTTAATAAATATCCTCAAATACAGAAATTATGGTTGACCTTGGTCAGCTCACTTTACTCATAACATTTATTATAATATATTATTATAATGTTTAGATCTTGTAACATTTTGTAATTATCTATTTATTAATTTGTCATTGTAATTGCTATTGCGAAACATAATGCAAAGCATTTTAATCATACTTTAACCGTTAAAGTTTAACGTATTGTACAGCATTAACTGTACTGTATAAAAATTTGTTTAATACGTAAAGATTTATCAATTATGTCTATCATGTAATTAAAAACAATAGGCTTGTATTTAATATTGCATTAAAGTTGATTTTTAAATATTTAAAAATATTTTTAATTTTTATATTAACTAATATTCTAAAAATAATTATTTTAAATGAATTCAATTTAGTATTTAAACATTTAATTAAATTTTTTCAAATTTTATTATATATTTTTTTCATTTTTTCAAAAGAACTCCAAACCCTTTCCCATCTACCCGTCCCTTACTTTCTGGTTTAATCACTTTCAAAACAAACCTCCAAACCGTTGTAATACAAATGACATGTAAATATCATAACTTATAAACAATCACTATTTATATAAGAAAACTTTCGTACGTACTACTTGCACTATACAAATTACTATAAAAAATATTTATTGTAATACCATTATTTCTAAGTTTCATGTAATAATTTAGATAAGATAATTATAACATATAACATTTGATTTTTAAATACTTAAAAATACTTATAAATTTCATATTAACTTATATTCTGAACATAATTATTTTAAATGAATTCAATTTAGTATTTTAACATTTAATTAAATTTTTTACAAATTTATTATATTTTCATTTCACTTTCTCAACCCCAAACCCCAGAACTCCAAACCCTTTCCCATCTACCCGTCCCTTATTTTCAAAACAAACCTCCAAACCTTTGTTATACATTTCCTAAGTACGTATTGTCATTATTTATAATTTGTTTTAAATTAAATTGTTTAAGTTAATATTAATTAAAAAAGTGTTTACACATACAATTCTTAATAAATATTAAAAATTAAAATCCGTTAATATTATTGACATAAACTTTTAATAATAATTAGAAATTCATTTTAAAACATGCAAATCGATATAATAAAACTCTATAATGAATATACATTTTCTAGCTTATTTTCTAATAAACAATAATGAATTGCTACTACCAATAAAGTACTACAACTACATTTAAGGCAAATAATTTTTTAAAAATGCTGATTTTATAATTTATATAGTAATATAATTCCATTAATAAGGTAGTATATTTCCATCATAACTAATTAATTTTCCAAATTCCTTGTCATTGGTATTCTTGATCACATTCAGTATGCCCTGGGCACTAGTACTAACATCAATGACTGCATTAGGTCCACCCATATCTGTTTTCACATGACCCGGATGTATGGACAGGACCCGGATGTTTTCGGGACCCAAGTCCACGGACAGACATTTGGATATCATATTAAGTGCAGCCTTACTGGTATTGTATGGATAAGACATGAATTGCTTATAATTATGTGTCTCCTCAATAGAGCCTATTAGTGATGATATGTTAGCCAGGGTGGTTTGCCGTTTAGTTTGCCCTGAAACCTATAACAAATAATTAAAGTAATATTTTATTGTAAATAAAATAATTTTCCCTACCATATAATACAATTAAAAAGTAATATTAAATCAGCTATTGCATGCTTGTTATTATGACAATTTAAAAATATTTAAAGTTTGTACAAAATAATTTAATATAATTAATAATTTTCATTATACTATAAAATTTATAACATTTTCAAAATAATATATAATGTTTTGAGACAAACCTTAAGCAATGGCAGCAACGCTTTGGTGAACATAAGCGGTGCCACAGAATTCACTTCAAAATTCTTAAGCATATCCTCAGCGGTCACTGAATCCAGACTTTTTACGATTAAAATGCCCGCGTTATTGATGACTGTATCCAATCCCTGGTCACCCACTATGGCCTCCACTTGTTTGACAAACTGCGGGAAACTGTTATAATTAGTGCCCTCCAGTTGCAGGACATGGAGTCTATTCGGGTGTTTGTCTCTGAGTTGATCCA